CGGCTAATGTGGGTAAAGCCATTGTCGAACTCGCCCTCTCACGCGTAAAAATACCAAGTGTTACTACATGAGATCTTTCATTGTCAGAGGAATTTCATTCTGTTGAACCTATTTGAGTAATATTCTATCGACAACCGTAGATAGCAAGAGACTACGGCCGATAGCCTTGCCGCTCCAATACGAGTTGCTATTTACCCTCGCAGCCGCTATTTATAATGCCTTTCTATTCTTTGCAAGTCCTGTTACGTCCATTTTATGAAACCGTTATGGGAAGTGTTCTGTAATTAGAAGAGATACTAAATATGTACATATAATGCTGCCTGGAAATGTGTGAAGTAAAACTCACAGTGATTTTTGATAAAACTTTAACCCTCTTGAGTACAAGATTCAACTTTTTACCTGATCAAACCAACGTTGGTGGAATCGTCAACCATACTGTAAATCAATTTTAGAAATATCCAATTCTAAACCCATAAATTTTCTTCATAAGTAAGATGCACTTTTGATAGTAAGTTCAAAAGAATAAACAAATCTTTGTTTATAAGAAAACACCCTAAATTAACCATGTAGAGCTTTATCCAATAAAACTTTCTCAGTGATACGAGTTTTGCCATTATTTTTCACTTATTTAATAGCAACATTGCTGAAGTTCCCCAAAAATGATTTAGTATTTTTAAGTCTAAATAACCCACTCGATGAGATACTTTTGCTCTTTGAAAATTTTCAAAGTAGGTTTTAGAACTCGCTCAAATCATTTAGATGGTTTTTGAAAACATTTGAGTTATCCCCACTAACAATCTTTTTTTAACGCTTAACAACAACTCAACAATGTCGTTTCGACATTTCAATCATTCATGTCAGTCGAAATTCTGAACTTTGAATTATAAAGCGATTTCTCTTATATTAAATAATTTCTTATTATTATTAAGTACATATTATTCCAATCAAAACGTTTAACCAACTACGTAGTATGAAAGGTGTTGAGAAAAAAATTGCACGAAAATTCTAACAACCGCAGTCAGAAATTGCGTGCTCGTTAATAAAAGCCTTCACGGAGAAAAAGGTGGGCGTTTAATGACAGCTCAGGAGACACATAAAATCGGCTCATAAACAGGTCAATCACACTTGATGAAATAGAATGGAGTGGTGGAGTGGCTAAGTCTAGATAACAGTATTAATTTACGCACCCATGCGGATCTATTTGCAATCAAACCGGTTGTGGTAATCAAGCAAAAACGTGTGAAATATTCGCGTTGCCACGTGTGACATTGTGGCGCACGCAAAAATTGCCAATTTCAAGCGAATTTCATACAGACAGGTTAATGTACCTTTAATACATTAATTTATGTAGGTAGATATGTTATTCTATCTATTCTATTTACTAACACAGGACCATAGGTAAGCAGTTAGGAGGCAATATGTTCGTCAATATATGGAATATGATATATATTTGGGTTAATGTTACTGCTATTATGTCTACACATCGCAATTTCGAAATTACAGTTATATGGATTGCGGACCTGCAAAATTTATTACCTACCACACTTCCTTCCGGCGGTCCGCGGTCGCATGTGGTATCGTTGCTCTGTTTATGCTGATTCAATGCGATGGTCTTATTAATATTATATATGGAATGGTTGAAGTTTCTTTTTTTTCAGGTTTTGCCACATTTTATTGCATAATTATTTTGGAAATTTCAGATTTTATTTCGATACATTTTGACTTTGCTAATTTAAATATGAGCATGAATGCTAGTTTGCTGGCATTTTGAACACTTTGCATTTAAATAAACTGAATATTTAAATAGAAAAACGATTAATGTATAGATAGTTCATAGAAGCTGCCATTTTTGAAGATCGATATAACCTACAAATTGGGTTCCATTGGGTTTATTCACTGTTAGATTAGGTAAGGCTCAAAGCGTCTTGTCGACAAGTAAGGCAAGTAAAATTGCCGGCGCCAAAAATATTATATGTTAATTGACAAACAGCACATGGTTTTACCACCGCTTAGTTGCGAAGTGGTGTATACGAAAAATGCTGTCCACTCAATTATGCTTACATTAAAGCTGCCCTAAAACATCCACTATCTCCTCTTGAATAAATTGTCAACTTAGTGAATTTTGGGATACGATTTATATATGTAAAGTATATGATATGTGTAATATGGTACTCGGAGATCACTGAAGCTCCTAAAGAGTTTCTTGTAAGCTTAAATCTCATGTATTGATCCTAAGATTGCAGGGTGCGCTAATGACGGTAGGCGACTTCTCCAATAAATGTCTAATCTACTAGGATTACTCGCTAAGTTTTTACTGCTTTCGTACCCTTAGAAAGAGAAGCTTTTATTTGATATCTAAGAAATGAATGATATTGTCGCAAGAACTTCAAAACAAGATGCTACTGAATATTTACCTAATACAGTAAGATGTTGAAAAATAAATAATCCACTTTATTAGCCGAATAAAGCATTAATCCGAAATTCGTTCAACCATCACCTTATTCAAGCTGCTTACTATCAGGAAGTCATAAAGTTGAAATAATTATTCAGGCCATATTTCAAATTTTCAACATTCATTAAGATAATTTCATGCGGCTCGAAAAAAGTGGGTGAGCGAAGCGAAAAGAAAACAAAATATGCCAACAACACAGAAAGGTTGCATATACTTGTCATTAATCAAACAAAGGGTTAGGCATTAGCCACTACCGTTAAAGCTGCTTTTCAACTGAGCGCACAAAATTAGGCACTGCACACCAATACACATACATGTTTATGTAGAGATTGCTAAAAACGACAAGCCACTAGATTCGACCCCAAATTTGTTAAAACAGTAGACACCAACAATCAGCCACCACCACAAAACCAGCGCAGCAATCATGTGCAGAAGATTTCAGTTATTCAAAGACGAAACATGCATTTGGTGTAACCGCAATGGTGATGCGACGACAAACAAACGTAATGATGACGCAACGGAGTAGCGTTATGCCAACGGCAGTTGTAATCGCACCAGCGACAAGGACTTTGGCGCTAGTGTCAGTGCGTCAAGGATGTATGTACATAGTTGTGTGTGTGTGCAGCCTTCCGTAATTGTTTCATCATTCCGCCAGCTTTTGTAATGTCACTACTCTCTTCTTTTTCAGTTCTTCAAATTTTCCGACAATTACAGCGACCTTTTTCTTAATTTCGCAACTTTTTTTTTTGTTTTACATGACATTTCTTTTATCCCTCTTTCATGGTTAACCAGTTGGTGTTCTTTCATTTTCTGGCAAGCCACTAATTTCTCACAAATGTTCTGCGGTCATGTTTACTTAGAATGTCACTTGCTCTGCGATTTGTGTATGCAAAATAGAAATCAGAAAGCTTTTCTGACCAAACACATTCATAAAAGAGAGTGGCAGTCGACATAGAGTGATTCATCAAAAGTGTCAAGGGAAGGTAAATATATTTTAGGTCGGAAAATATTTGTTTTCATAAACAGTTGTAAGAACTTATTTATGTTACTATACAATCTATTATAAAGTCTCTACAATATATCTCCAAGGGTTGTTGTGATCCTGAGCCTTGCTCTCTTTGACTGCTTAGGATCAGCGAGAGTCGCTGAAAGCTAGTGAGAATCAACAATTGGCCAATGGGGAAGGGTTGGAATCCAACAATAGCCGAGGAGAGTCAAGTAAAGTTCATAAAAGCTGTTGAACAAAAGTGAGATACGGCGAAAGAGATGAAAGTATCGGAAAGAGCCAATGATGAGACAGTAACAATCAAATAGAGCTAGCGAGACAGTAAGACAGTACCAGTAAGACAGTAAGGAAAAGTAATATTGTAGGGTCATCACCTTTAAAATCCCAGCTTCAGAAAATTGGAAAAATGGTTTCGACGGAATGCAGACCAAAGCGAAGGATGATGAGATCCGGCTTTCAGCCGACTGCGACGGAATATCTTCCACGGCTCCCAATACTTCAACTTAAGACACATTAAGCAGCTAGGGTGAAAAATATATGTTTTTTTTTCTGGATAAGGCTTAATTTGGTTAATACTCGGAACCACAATGGGCTTATTATCAGAGATAATAAGAGCCAGTGGGAGTCAGTGGAACCTAGTGAGAGTCACATTGAAACTGAAACTTTTACAATACCATATAGAAGAGCTTTTTAATTGTGGTATATATATATATATTTTGAACTCTCTTTGATTTGAAATTATTTCCAATTGGTTTCTTTACTCAGCTTCACTTTACTTTTTCGATATTTCCAACTCTTTACAACGCCACTTTATGACATTCTTCCATTATTACATACACTTACAAACCATTACATATTTATTATACTAGCGATCAAACCAAACCGAACCGAAGAACGAATTATGGAGCTTTATTTAGTTGGTGACCTGAAAAAAAGAGCAATGCATTTTATGTGGCATTTTAAAATGTATATAACTTCGAGGATAAAAGAAAAGGGTATAGACTTATGTCGACAGTATTGGAAGCTACTCTCTCTCCATAAGTCTTTTTTCAAAAACTAAAGAACTGATATATGGCAACACAATTTTCACACAATAACAATTGCGCTAAGCGAAACAACATCGCTTTTTCTCTCGATATCTCGCTTTATAACCTTAAAATATAATATATCGGTATCTCTAACCTTTTGATTTGAATAATCGCCGACATTGAGCGAGGTGTATATGCTGGAAAGTGAACGTTTTACCATAAAGCGTTTTCCAGTTCATCTATTAACATTGCAATTTGTGATGTCGGTATAGATGCGACTTCAACGTACACGCGTTCTTATAGACACGGCACCAAAGCAAGTCAGTTGTAATTGAGTCAGAACCATATAACCAGTTTGTCTTCAATATTTACTATATAGTTTGCACTCGTGCTTACCCAGCAACTGGGACTCATTTGCATTGTAACTTCTTTGGCAATAATGTGGCAACTTTTCGCATTTACAAACAAAACAAAAAAAAAAAAAAAATAAATAAAATAGAAACACGACGATGCACTTGTTTCTTTGCAAGTTTTATTGAAAGTAAAATTTGGTTTTGTTGTCACTGTTTGTGTTGTTGCTAATAAACTTTTTACCCTTCAATTCTTTCTTCGAATAGCAACGAAAATAATTGTCAATACAAATCAAAGCGTGTGAGGTTTTAACAAAGTTACGAGTACACAAGAAGGGGTAAGTGTTGAAGCAAAAAGAGATATATACGAGTATGCAGTTCAATATATACAAATATCCTACGTGCTCCTAAGAGATACAAATACCAGAGCAAGAATAAAATTACACATGCAATCAGAGCAGTTTGAGAGTTCAATACAATAGTATATAGTCGCTCACAACACTTTGTGCCACCGAAAAATCAAAATAGAATTCGAGTGCCAGAATCTTTCATTGCTTCTTGACACTATTGTTACGTAATCCTTTTAGAGCGTTTCTCATCTCTTTGCTGCGTCGAGAAATGTCACCAAGTGGCTCTCAAGACAAGCATTCAAAGCTGCAGTACAGTGACAAATTGCTTTGACCCAACAACCCTGGCCGCAATCGATTGACAATGATTGTCAGAAGGCAAATGACTTTCTTGCTTTCTGTTGCTGACAAATGTATACTGATATTGGTATCCTCATATGCATATATGGGTGTAAAGGTGTTATAAAGAAATGCAAATACACAGTATGTGGTAAATGCGATCAATATGAAGAGTATACAGGGTGCTTTTGTGTGTTATTAACCCATTTTTTTGTTACCTGAGATCTGAGCCAGGCAATGCAAGCATTCGTTAGCAGCTTGCTAAATTCCGGACAGACTGAAAAACGAACACATCTAAAATGAGTTTTTATTGGCGAAAACATCAAATAACAAAACAAAGCAGTTTTGAATGACTGATGATGATAATTCAGGAAGAAAGGTGACACTCTATGGATATCAAAGGACCGTTTTAGAAATATCGTCTAAAATCAAGACAATGAATCCTTTCAAAAATCAAACGAATGCACATTTGCACGATTTGCAGCCACCATATTCCCCGGATGTAGCACTGTACTTAGACCTTAATAGCAGCTCATCTGAAAAAAAGAGAGTAAAGCTAACAAAGACTAAATATCGTTTTTTAGTAAAAAAAAGAGGACAAACTATATCTTCGGCTGCACCGAAGCTATAATACGCTTCATAACACAGGTGAATTTCTTATAACACCAAAGAGTACAAAATATATTTATCTTGATTTTGATCGTTCCGTTTGTATAGTAGCTATATGCTACAGTAGTCCAATATCGGCGGTTTCGACAAATGAGCAGCTCCTGAGGAGAAAAATAGTTTTATAAAACTTCAGATCGACATCTTAAAACCTGAGACTTCAAAGCTAAGTCAACACAGCTCGTCAGGCATTTGTATACATATACTTCTTAGAGTTTCCGACGTTACTTTCTTGGTGTTATAAACTTGGTGGTAGGGTATATCCCTGTTCAGGGTACTATTGTAAACCTTATTCTCTTTCCTTCGTTCTCATTTCCTCTCTCACCCTCTTGCGCGCTTTATCTGGCTTTCCCTTAGTTATCGTCCTAACTTATGAGTATGCTCTCATTACCTCTATCTCACTCTTGCAAACTTTCTCTCGCTCTCCCTTTTAATGTTCCCATCCTAAATGTAGGCAAAGATAATACTAATTTTAGTTATTATCAAACTTATATCATTTGGGTATAAAGCAAAGTTTTTGAATGTCTGAAAACACGCAATTTTATACATTTATATTTTTCCAAGGTCCAATAATAAAACTCATATTGTCAAACCAAACATATTTAAATATTTGCTAAAATAATAATTTTTAGAGGTGTTTTAAAATGAGTGAACTTGAATTACGAACCTTTCATCAGTCTCCAGTATAAACAAAATGAGACGTATTGACTATTTGCAAGATCTCTGGTTGCAATTTGAAGTAATTTATGTTTTTCAACAAAAAAAGTTTGGAGCATATCCTACCATAAAACGTATAATAGCCTTAGGGAAAGCTTTTGGATACTTAACGTAACCATTCCGCAGAATTCTTAGAACACATTCGGTTTTTTTCACTGTCGCATAAACCTCGAAAAGAATGTATTGAGTTATTTTTAAATTCGTAGAAAATCATGCAATGCTTTTTTGGTATCAATCTTTATCGGTTCTTACTATATGATTCTTACTCGATATCATCCATTTAAGTCTATAACCTATCAAACTATTTTTTCTCTAATAGAAGGCAATTATAGCTTTTAGTAAATATCACGAAAACCTTAAGGTTTCTATAATGTTATGGTGAAGATTTAGTACCCATTTCACAGAAGTACGATCCACATCTTCGCTATCATTTTACATATAGCTCAGATAAAATGATTATACCTATATACAGGTTTTATTTCCCTTCTTTGTATTTCTTTATCTGATATTGACACCAATTATTTATTGTAAATTTGACATCTCCGTATAGTAAACCATATAACCGTGCCACAACTATCATTAATCCGTTTATTTGAATACATAACTCGAGAAAAGTTTGTTAGTTAAGCTTTTAACGGAAATGTGGCTTTTATAATATTGGCCAGCTCTGCTAATGACAGTACATGCAACACAACTTTTGCGCTTCACTTTGAACTTTTCCCGTTTTAAACGATTTGCCGTTAAGTTGTCGACTAAGTATTGACTTGCATTTGATGTGGCGAAGTTTGATAAGCAAATACTTATGTTGGAGAGCTGATTGGGAATTGGAAAGTTTCAGTATATAAGCAAGATGACAGACGTTTCGTTTGATGTTGTTTAAGGAAGTTCATTAAGTGTATATATTATTTTTTAATACTGGAAGGATGAGAAAGTGCTTTCAAGTATCAGTTGATTCTATGTCGATAGATTGAGATGCATGGATGTTTTTGAAAGTGCTATTAATATTTTGGACGTCAAAAGCTTATTATGCTTACGCCAGGTGGTTTGGATCCTTTTTATAAAAGCAAAGGGAAATTACATTTATTGAGGCAGTCTACACTGATTACGTAAAGTTATAAGTATATCCCGTCACATCCGATTGAAGGTTGTACGTTCGCATTGATATTAATTAATAATTAATTTTTCCCCTTTTCTGAAGGTGGAACCTTAAGGATAGATGACCCCTACAAAGTTACTAAGTTCCCTCTTGCCAAGAAGTAAGAGCTCTCCGATCTGTTTGTCCAGCATCAACACTACCCTAAAGTAAGTTTGTGTTATACCTTGAGTGGCTTGTGTTCCAAGATCTGAGAAGTCTCTCTAGGGTCCAAGGCATCAAACAACCCTTCAAGAAGCTGCATAGTCTGGGGCAGCTGAGGGAAGTTGTATTTCCAGCTGTCTCCGAACGAGCTAGCTCGTTTGAATTTTCATTTGCTTCTAACGTTTACCAACTACTTTGTGTCCGAAATTATCAAAAAGCTTAACCGTAAAATATAATTTGTGAAAGGTCTTTTCATAATTTGCACATCTCTTTCGCTCAGTTGCGGTTAACAATAATAATCTTGAAGAACGTGGAACATGCAAATATTCACGTTTTTTCAGCTTTTGTAATCAAAAAGAAGATGCTGCAAAGAAACACCAGAAGAAAGCCTGCAATCTTTAGCAAATTTCTTAATAAACAAATAACAGAAGAAACAAATTTGGCCATAAATTACCGACACACGTCGCAGCAGCAGAAACTCTTTTGTCTCGGCGCGGCTTAAGTTTAGATTTTCATATCAAATGTGGTCTGCATTCTTACTTGCCTGGCCGAGTTCCGAATTCACAGCGTTTGCGACTTATTCGAAGTTTGTTAGCACCAAGATGTGCGTCTGTGTGGGTGTCCATTGGTATGTGCGTGTGTTTGTTACTTACCTTTTGTGCAGTGATCAGATTTAATTTTATTAGCACGCGCTCGCAAGCCTCAGCTAATAATCATTTTTCAGACAAAAAAAAAAGAAAGAATTTATTACACAGTTCCGAAGGCCATGAAAAATTGTCGAACATCTTTTTGTAGTGAATTTTATCATAAATCAGTTATAAGCAGACTTTTTCAGCGGCACTCGCGAAGTGCATGGCGGGTGCCACGTGGACAGCGAGCAAAGTTTTTATTTGCAGTTTGTCCTCCCTTTCTTTTGTTGCGCTATTTAATAGAATTATTATATCGCTGGCGCTCACCTTTATAAAGGTTACTTCCTTTTAATGGAAATTAGATCAGCGAAATTTGTGCCAGATATTGAGTTGTTTTATTGCGGAGCTCTGCCTTCGCACATAAAAACTTATTTGCCTTCTTTGCCTTTTGAGCTGCTATTGAGTTGAATTGGGTTGAGTTAATTGCTTTCAAATTGGAAATCAGGAATTGATTTATGATACGAATTAATTTAGGCCTTGGCAAAAGCACAGTTAATTTTTTTATGGCCATGAAGGATCAAATGGCCAACAATTTCAATTTAAATGGATAGTTTTTTTTAGTGCAGTGTCTATGAGGATATAGGCAATTTGCCTGGAAATTAATAATTATTTCAAATATATCGAAAAAAACAAGAAAACACGTGAACTTTGGTTTCACCGCAGCTATTATGCCCTTCACACGTGCATTTTTTATAGCACAGAAAGGTATAAAAATATATTTGTTCTGAATTTGATAAGTTAATTTGGATTGTAGCTATAAGCTTTAAGGCTCCGATCTAAATAATATGTTCGGAAATGATAGCAATGCGTTAGTTATTTTTTGAAGATACCTCGTCAAATGAAAAAGTTTTCCATGCAAGGACTTGATTCCAATCGTTCAGTTTGTATGGAAGCTTATACTATAGACATCCGATCCCCGAATAATATCTTCGAATATTATAGTGATGCCTTGAATAATACTCTCTGCCAAATTTCGTGAAGATGCCTGTTCAAGTGAAAAAGTTTTCATATGGTCTGGTAAAAAGACAACAATTTTTTTCCAATAAATGGTTCTAGTAATCTGTGTTCCGCGTTTTGTAAGTGCGATCAGCTTGCGCTGTATTTACGCATACTTTAAAGTAAAATAATTTTTCATACATTTTTGTGATTGCTGGACTCAATATTGTTTGAGCATGTGTCAAAAATGGATACAAGCAAAAACAAAAAAATACTACACCATATATAAAGTTTTTCTTCGGTAAAGGCGAAAGTGCAATCCAGGCGGCTGAAAATGTAAATAATGTTTTGCTTCTGATACTTTAACAGCAAACCAAGCATCAAAGCTGACCACGCTCTGTTCCGTTTGTTTTATTTTCATAGTTTTATTTGGAAACGTCCTATTCTCTCGATTTATATATTGCTAAGTAAAATAATCATATGGAATATAAAATTGTGATATAAGAGAAGTAAACGTGGTAGCTGGCCGATTTTACCTACTTCCACAGTGTGATACAAGGAAACAAATATAATAATATTAAGTAGTTGCTGAGATATGGGATTTCACTGATAGGTCGATATGCCACAACCAATGTCTGATTTTTGCTTCGCTTTACTTGTCACTCTTAAGTGTCATCTTAGTTGTCAAATTTTATGCTTCTAACCTATTAACTTAACGAGTTATATCATCCTTTTTTGATCATAACCGTTATATGGGGAGTGGTTATCTTCCGATTTCAATCATTTTGTGTCGAAATACTGTCTTGTTAGCAAGTTTGGTCGATATAGAAATATTTACATTAAACTTGTTAGGGGAAGGAGCCATGCCCACTTTTCAAAAGTTTTAAGCACAGATTCCCCTCAATAATACGATCCCTTATTCCAAAATTCAGTGTAGTATCATCATTTCTAGCTTAGTTATAACAGTTTATATGTTTTCGAGTAACGGGGTTTTGTGGTCGTGGCATTGATTTGCTTCCGCCTATCTGCGAATATATATACCAAGTTTCATCACGATATCTCAGTTTATACTCAAGTTATCGATCGTTCAGACGGACAGACAATCAGCTGAAACTCATCTCGACTCATCAGTCTGATCATTTGTCTATATGGTATATGTATCTCGATTTGTTTCAGGTTAGTTTTTTTCTGCAGATACATGATGCGAGAATATAATTATGGAAATCGTTGAGCCCGGCCGTCATGTATGTCTAACCATTGGTTACTTAAAGCTGGATGCGAAAATAAGCTCAATGTATGGATGCTTCTCGGGGTAACGCAAAAAAACTACATGTATCAAATTTTCTTATGTGAATCGCTGCTGAATCGCAAAAACTCGATCGACTTCGGAAGCGGATGGTTGCTGGAATTAGTGGGTCACTTACGACAGAGTCAAGCGAAAACAATGCTGCTCGAATCGCGCTGAGCTGGCCCAAACGGTGTTCCAGGATTGATTGGTGGGATTGGTAGGGATCATCTACTACATGTAAGCTACTCCTCCATGGCCAAACTAACAATTCGGGGCTGTACTGTGAACAGTTGGATCGTCATAAAGCAATCACCCGGACTGGTCATCTTTGGTCAATAGGAACTCCGGAAACTTGATTGGGTGATGTCAAGTGATTTCTACCTAATGTTATCTAAGGCGAATTATTTTTCTGGTGAAAAATTCGGCTCAAGAGAAGCTTGCGAAAATCTCATTTAATGTCTAACATCTAATATATTATATACTGGAACGTATATCTACATAAATATTTATATAAATATATATAATATAAATATAATATATATAAATATTTTACCTTAAAATAATTGCATGTGCCAACATTTTCTGTAATTACTGAATTTAAAATTTTGCATATATTTATTTCCACAATTTTACAGTAACCGCGTTGTCATTATAAATTTTGCTATGACGCACAACTTTGCAACTTGATGCAAATTCAATCAGCTCTGTCACAGAAAAAGTGATGAAAAGTAAAAATTACGTCACATTTTATTATCATTTTTTTTTTTAACTTTTCGCCGCAAAAATTTTTCACTCGAATTTTCCGTTTGTTTGCATGGTGCTTGGCCTTGAATTTGTCGTAAGTCTTAAAACTTTATTTGCGGCTTGCCAAGCAAATGTTTACAAGAGGCCACATTTGCGTCAGTTGGTAATTGAAATTGTAAAAGTTTTGAATATAATAAAATCACGGATGACGAAAATTGAAGAAAATTTTAAATTATAACGAAGCTTCAGTGCAATAAAGTGAAGTTTATGAGTATTTTTTGTATCGAAAATGCTGCACGAAAGCTTTCAAAGGATTATAATTTTTATTACTACTCTTAGCTTTGGATAAAGTTAAAGTCATAAGTTGTGGGATTTCGGAGTCTTGGGCTGCGGAACTATGCTTGTACACCGAAAAAAATAAAAACTTTCAAGGTCATATAACTTTTGACGTTACAATCTGCTCATTTCCGCTAGACAAATCAGTTGTTAGATATCGGTTTAATGCATACCGAAGAAAAGAAGAAAAATGCTAGGTTCGACTGTGCCGAAACAATAACACCCTTCACAGTTGCATTTTTTATACCATAAAGTGGTACACAAATAGCTTAACCTTTATTTTAAACGTTCAGTTTGTAAGGCAGCTATATGCTAGATTGGTCCTATTTGAACAATTTATTTGATATAGGATAACTTGTCAAATAAAATAATTTTTCATAAAAGACATAATTTTGATTGATCTGCTTGTATGACAGCTATATAATATGGAAGTCCAAACTAAACAAAAATATCTATAGCTTGTAATATTGGTTCGGGAAATAATCCATGCCTAACTTTATGAGGATATATTGTCAAGTAAAAAGTTTTCCATATAAAGGCTTGATTTGGATCGATCACTTTATATGGCAGTTATATCTCATAATGGTCTAATATCGGCGGTTCTCGCAAACGAGCCGTTTCTTGTAGATACAATAGCTTGTGCAAAATTTCATACTGATATCATAAAAACTGAGGGACTAACTACAAGTAGTTCGCTTATATACAGACAAACGGAACCAGCAATTTGGTAGTACGTAAGGGGTTTATATATAGTGATATGCCTATATATATAATATCACTAGCAAATCACAAACACTTACTATGGGTCTTTGTCCTCTTGCTTTCTGGCACAATTTGTCACGATTTATAATCCAAACATTTCACTTCGCTTCACTTTGTTTTAATTAATCACCAAAGAAAGCACATTAGCACATAATATTTAAATGTATGAAAGCATACAGTTGCTCAAAATTTGTAGTAGTATATTATCCAAAGCATTGCTACAATTTCCGAACATATTTTTAAGGTAGGATAAACGTGAAGTAATCAGTTTTTGAGGTATCGGTTTGAATTGTTCATACGTCTTTTTCTCCCAAGAATCTGCTCTCTTTGTGGAAACCGCTAATATCGGATCACTATAAAATATAGTTGCCATACAAACTGACCGATCATTATCAAGTTCTTGTATGAAAACTTTTTTGAAAAGATTTCTTCAGAGAATTCGGCCCGGAATATTGTCCAAGAAGAGGCTATAATCTACAATTAATTTAGATATTCGTTTCCAAACTATAAGTCAATTAGTTGTCTAAAATTGTATTGTAGCAAATCACAAACCTTTTACAGCCTAATTTATCGGCTCCTAAAATGTTGTCATTTTACTACGTAAAAATTTTATAGCACAACTTTTGCGACTGTCTTTAATTAACATATCTTTATTTGTGCGATGTCACAGGGCGTATGAGTAACGTATAAATCAGCAATAATGCAAATGATTACCTAAACAAACATACACACCTACAAACCTTTGAGGTATGCTAATAGTAAAAAGCAGAGATGAGCGGGTTTTATGCCACAAGAAAGATTCATGTATATACCGTTAACCCCACCTACAAGTCATAAACCTTATACACACATATATAGGTATATGTAAAAGCATGGCAATTTGTATTGCTGAGAATTCCGGTGTGTCAGTGAAATTTCTACACATTTCACTCACATTTTTATGTATGTATGTATTTATATATGTATGTTTGCATGTAAGTAATATACATATACAAACTCGTATACACCTGCATGTCAAGCGAAATATTGCAAGCGTGTTTTGCACACGCTTCACTATGTCAGTAATGTAAAGGTAGCTGCCATCTACGCTAAGTAATTTATTTAAATAACAACAACATCTACAACAGGCACAGCAACTGTTTGTTTACTTCTTCGGTACGTCAAGCGCTAGCTCGCTGCTGTCTACAAGCGTTTACTCTCTTAATATTCATTTGATTTAATCAAAATGCCAACTTGTATTGTTTCAATGTCGAGAATTTCTTTAAAATGTCTCAATAATATGCACACACACACTCACAATCACAATAACCACACCGCGATGGGCGCGTACATGACTTGGAGCTGAGGTGTAGTTAGAACCTTACTTGGTAGTTGAAGAGCGTAGTGCTCAGTGCGTTTATTACAATTTATTGCCAACAATTTGCAATGTTTTTATTGTTGCTTGTATATATGTAGGTATCTGCATATGTGTGTGTGTGTGAGTATTCCCAAGTAAGCAACACGAGTCTGGAGCAGCACAAACGACAAATAAGGCGACTATTTATGTATGGGAAATGTAAAATATTTTAATTAAATTCAAATGCGACTTTATTAAGACTGACTGAAATTTGCCAGCGTTAGTTCTTGTGCCTAAGCAGATATTTAATTTTAATTTAATGTCTCTGATGATAAAATCTGCCGTATAGTGAGTATGAGAATAAATGATGTAATGTGCATATGCTTATTTAAATATCAATACACAATTTTAAAAGTCCTTTCTTAAAAGCGCTATGGGCATCTTGAAACAAAATATCATACTTTTTTTTTTAATTTCGAGCTTTTATGTCACATAAAACACAGAAAAATTATTACATTTAAATTATTAATTTCTAAATAAGAATTTATAACATCCTGACTGTATCCTTTGAAAGCACAACCTGTGGGCCTACTCATTTGTAGAATTACACAAATTTCCAAAGATATTGTCGGTAAGGTGAGAAAAATTAAAAATTAGAAGTCTGTAGTCAAGAAATATTTGAAAATTTACAAATTTAGTATGGTATTTTTAAAAATATAGACCATCGAAATGGGCAAAGAATAAAATATTTATACAACAATTATAAAATTTTCACACTAACTGTGTTACGTCAAGGTTAGTCAAGAGCCCTTATAAAAGCCTTAAGGGGTTCCAGGGTTTCGTAGAGCCAAAAACGCCCTATTTCAATAATTTTTTGTCACATAAAAAATTAAATATATATATATTATAAAAAAATTTTATTATTCCGAAAATATATATTTGATAAAGATTTTGTGAAATTTTCTATGGAAAATATTCAAAACTCTGTCATTTCCGGCAGTCCCTCGGAAAAAAGGTGTTTTCGGACAGCAGAACTTTTGACAGGATCATCCAATGTAAAAAGAAAAAAACATGTGTTTGAACTAAGACCATTAACTAGGTATTGGACGCAAAAAAAAAAAACAAATGAGATGAAAATTGTATTTTTTGGCAAAAGTTTAAACAAAAAACGCAAATTTTGGTGATAATTTCTCGACTTTTTTAGTTTAGAATCCTCGAACGCTAAACTTTTCGAAGCTAGGATTGGGTTTAACTGAGAATTTAGGACAATATTCCATAAATGTTATAGAATTAAATAAGACAATAAAAAATTGTTTGTTTTTTGAAGCTGTGAAACCCATGTAACCGCTTAACTATCACAATTTGTTTTGGGAGTAAGGAAAATGGGATCAAATTTTTTTTTCCATCTTCAAAAGAGCCTTTGCTGGCAACGGTCAGAAAATCGTGCTGTCTAAAAGCTAATATTTCTAATTGCGAAAAAATTAACAAAATTTTATAATAAGAATTTATTATACCCCCACCGTGTTCTACGACGATAATTCTGTGGTCACCAAAACTTCAGCCTAAATTCTATTGCTATCAGCACTCATCACAACGACAATTATAAAATTTAAATTCCAACTTCATCAATTTCAAGAAAATATGAACCAAAATTGCCTTTTCTGGGAGGCTGAAAATTATCTTCGTCATTTTTCGCACTCCAAATTCGGGCTTCACTCGGAAATTTTACTGATTTTCACACCTATTAATTCAAAAATACATTCATCAAACGCATCATTACTGCTGACGAGACGCGGATTTATGAATATGACGTCGAAAGTGTCGAAACTGTCGCAACAGTCTAGCGAATGACGCTCCAAAAATTAGCCGAAATCGAAAAACCAAAACGGCTGAAGATACTGAAGGCTATCCCATAATAAAAATGTCTAATAATCCTTGATAATTTGTTTTTTTTTTTTGTCAGTCCGGTGAAATATGATCATATGGTAGAGGAAACCTTCTACATCTCTTCCGTTAGAGCTACCCCTTTAACCTAAATTTATGGATTTCGTCAAACTAATACAAATCAAAGCATTAAAAGTCGTTTAAATCTCTACATACATATTCTGCATTTAAACCATATTCTTCTTGATTGAATTAACTAATTTACTGGTCAGAGAACTGACATCACATCAATTCACTGCCAAATTAATTACTTCATTTACGCTTGAACGACTGAAAGGTGAAGCTTCTGTATACCTATTTGTGTAAATAAACTAACTGTGAAGAGTATAGAGCATCTATGTTTAGTTCAATGAGCAATTATTTACACTGCTTCCTACAATATTAAAACATTCGTTGCAACCAAAGGTATACTACAAGTAGTATGCATTACACTAAAACATATATTCCCTCTGGCGATTAGCTACATTGTTCAATTTATACCATATATGTGTATAAGTATTTTTAACACTTACTATGGGTCTTTGTCCTTTTGCTTTCTGGCACAATTTGTCACGATTCATAATCCAAACATTTCACTTCACTTCACTTTGTTTTAATTAATCACCAAAGAAAGCACATTAGCACATAATATTTAAATGTATGAAAGCATACAGTCGCTCAAAATTTGTCGTAGTATATTATCCAAAGCATTGCTACAATTTCCGAACAAATTTTTAAGCTGGGATAAACGTGAAGTAATCAGGTTTTGAGGTATCGGTTTGAATTGTGCATACGTCTTTTTCTGACAAGAATCTGCTCTCTTTGTGGAAACCGCTAATATCGGATCACTATAGAATATAGTTGCCATACAAACTGACCGATCATTATCAAGTTCTTGTATGAAAACTTTTTTGAAATTCGGTC